GGTGCAAATGTTTACAGGCTTGATGAAACAGCTTGTGCAAAAAAGATTTTTTGACACCACCACCCAATTTTACTGACACAGAACTGCAGTGCACTGTATACAGAATTCTCTTCTTGGCAAAAGAAGTATTTTTGTTACACATTCTTTGCACAAAGTGGACAAGGAGAATGCACATAGTGTAGAAAAAGTCCATCTGTCTGTAGGTACTTCATCTCTGAAATCACTGTATGGATTTCTACGAAGTTTAATACTGGGATGACCTACACTGAGTTATCAGGCAAATGTAATTCGTATGTACTGTAACAACAAAACACCAACTAACATGCAAACAATAAAAATATTCACTTGAAACAATATAAAAACAACAATATGTGTACTCTGTTTATTATACTTTCCCATTCTTTTTACAGAATGGACCTCTCAAATTTTAGGCCCCAGTAACCCTCACACTATTTTCTAGGATTCTTCTTGCTAAAAGTAACAACTTTGGGCATTTTAAAATGCATTATTTCAAGTTTCTGAAGAAATATAATTTAGTCAGCAAAGAAGGTAAATTGTTGAAGGTTATAGAACCTGCACCAATTTATCTTCTTTCCAGTAAGCAACAAAGAGTGGACCACAAGGCCAATAGTCAAGCTGAACCAAAGATATATTAAAGCTAGCAAAATAAAAATAAAAGGCATACATGTGTTACATACTGCACTTTTTTTTTCAAGACAACCATTTTTAATCTTAATATTTTATTTCTTTATCAGACTTATTTTATTTATTACTCATGCCCAAATTGTCAATAATCTGTTACACTTTTTGTGAGCTCTAACACCTGTTAAGAATGTGAAAAACATACTGAATGAAAAAAGAAAAGTCTGTGCAAATAAAATGTGCAAGACACAAATCCAGGCATTCTACACTCTACATAAATTTCTTTAATTAAAGGCTGATACACAACACTGTGAAGAAAATATATTGGACTCAAAACATCAAATGTGTGTGTTCTACACCATGTATTTATTCAAACATGCACTTTACTTACATTCAAATTAGAAGTCTGTGGCAGGTCCAAACCTGAAGCTACAAACAGCTCCAGTTCAGATAAGCCTATGGGCTTCTGCTGAGCAGCAGTCTGGTCTTTGCTTTTTTGTTTTTTCTTACTGTTCGGTTTCTTCTTAGGATCTGTATAAATAATACCAAATGCAAGATAAAATTCTTTTCTGTACCTACTAACCAAAGCTATGCCATATACTCCAAGAAATTACATTCTTCAACATGGATACATAATATTAAAACACCAGCACTCTACACTCTATACCAGATTTTCTGTTTCAAACAGGTATCAGTTCAATATAGTTACTCTCCTGGACAAGGTACTGCAAAATATCATCACATGTTTGTAATCCAAAACAGATCCCAGAAAGTAATACTGTGTATGTTAAAAAGTAGGCCATATCTAAAATTTCCTATTTTTCTCCCTCATTCTTTCTTGTTGTAATCCATTAAACAATGGATAGGCTACTGGCAGTGGTGCAACATCAGTAATTGTGTAGGTCAGGACAGTTATGTGGAGTTGATGTTAGTGGTGGAGGTGTTGCAGCAGTATGACATAAGGGGTTGTTGCACTTCATTATAGAACATCACACAACAGCACAGACAATAAAGAACAAAAAATAAATAGAAAATAACCAGAAAACAAATAATAATAGAATATATAAATGAACCAACATCACAAAGGATAAAAAAGGATAAAAATAATCAGAAATAAGTTATAATCAATATCTTATCTGCATCTACAGCAAAAGCTATCCACGGGCCCAGAGCTGTGCATTCAGTTTCACCAATTCACTCCCCCATTTTGACCATCGGGACTACAAATTAAGGCCTCTCATGGTGCATCACTCAGAAAATCCACAGGCATTTACAATTTTGTGTGTTTTCTATGTAATTTCTGTGTATAACAAGTCACCTGTAATGCAAAGTGTTACCTAATGCAAACAATGTCAAAATATGTGACATAAGCAGATTTATGTTACATGTGTGTTGAACAATGAATATCACCGAACATACCACAGAGAATGATGCTAACCTGTTATACTGTTTCCACCAGTAGCTCCTGAATCAGCAGACTCGCCATCATTTTCTGATGATTTAACATCACTTTTTTTTTCATCTTCCTCTTCACTGTCATCAGGAATCCTGGAGTCAATTACGGTATTATTAGCTGAAATACTAAACAGCGTGAAACACAAATTGCATATGCAGTCTTGCTTTGTTATTAAATATGTGAATTTTTGCTAAACAATTTTGTTACCAAAATTCAGGGTACAAGTATTTTTGATTTCATGTTTTTATGTGTTCTTTGCACACATTTCATCTTGAAAACCCCTGCACTAGACTATCCAAATGTCATAAAAAACACTATCCCTGCAGAATATGGTCATAGAGGCCTGTTTGTATGTGTGAAAAATCTGTGTCAAATTATTTTTGCCTGAATCTTTGTATTTTCTACTGTACCCAGATGAAGAAAAATTAAAATGGTACTGATTGTGACTCATGGCTGTATTGTACATTATGAGTAATTTTATTGATGAAGATGGCTGCCTTCTGGGTTGTAGCGCCGTGTAGTCTGGAGGCTGATAATGGAGGCAACAAGGCCCTCTGATATGTTGGTGAACTATCAGACTACACAGCACTACAACCTAGAAGACAGCCATCTTTGGACTCACAGCAGTGAAAACCTCAAATCCTACTTAATTGTATTGATAAATCAATTCTAAAGGCTTCAAGACCATAATGATATTTAAATTAATCTATACTTACGTATTTTTTGCAGCTTTGGGTTTCTTTGGTTTCTTTTTCTTAAAAGTTGTCTTGCTTGGATTTACTACCAGAGGAGTTGAACTGGGTTTCCTGTAAGATCAAATTCTGTGTAATGCATGCTACAACACAGGGCTTCAATAAACATATAAGGATATAAACCTAGCAGCAGTTTAAACCTTCATCATCCTAAAAAATCTGTTCCTCAAGTCCCTGATCAAATCTTGGAGTGATGGAAGGTTGTGTGATCATGTATGGGGAGAAATGGATGACAGTAACTGGCAAGTAGTGTGAAATGTGAACACTAATATGGGAGGTGAAGATCTGTTTTGAAATATAGAAAATTGCAAACATATTATCAAGATTAGCAACCCTTAGACTAGCAGCAAAGTAACAGTACTTAAGTTTAAAGAATATGCAACCTGGTAAAACCAGTCT